TTAATTTAATACATGTTCTACATTTGAAGTATACAATTATAGTATTGTTTAGAACTAACTTTTTCTAATGTAGCCCTTTCTTTCTTCTCTTTCTTCCATCCGCATATGATTGCCAATGAAATAAATCGTGTGAGCATAGTATATAAATTAAATTCATAAAAATCACATATATAAGTATTAATTTTTCTTTGATTATAAGGCACTAGAATCACAAAAGGGTTTATGCTCGCTGATATTTCTATGAAATCAATTTATATAATTTATATAATTTATATTTATACGCATTGATTAAAAATCTCTACCCTTTTGTGCTTTGCGAAGTATCAAAACCGAATATCGGAAATTAAATATGAAAGTAACAATAATAATAAAGTTGAAAATAATAAATAGAAAACATACTCCACAATATCTTCCCCGACATTCTTCCACTATCTCCTATATATTCGATATCCCGAAAACTACTAACCATATGTGTGAAATTTCGATGGTATTTCGCGCCTTTTGATCGAAATACGAAATTACATCACTCTTGATTATACGTTTTGCTGTATCCATTTTAACGCGTTTCTAACATTACCGAGTGTTACCCTGCTAAGGAAGCTTGCAATTAATTGATACTCGGGCATTGTACGCCTTCCACAAGAACGTGTCAAATACGTTTGTTGATACACGTGGTTTCTACCAATACCACGTTTTGTGCTGCTGGGCGACTCATGTAACAGATCCATTCCATCTGCGCTTCGTTCTTCGCAAAGAATCTTTGTGGTCAAGCACAAAAGCCATTGCATGATCTGTCAAATTCACAAAAAATGTATAAGTATTTTATCTTGATTTTTTTTTTTAATATAAAGGGTGATTCACAAACGCATGTCCGTATGGACCCCGTTCAGGGGGTGAATCAATAGATTAAGGCTCCGGAATAGTTAGTCAAGAACGTTTCTGCATTAATAGTAGCAACATAGTATAGAACGACAAAAAGATGATAATGCTAGATAATGCTAAGAAATATATTTAAAAAATTCAAGATGATCTCGACCTGAACCTAAGGATAGCATGTCAAAATCAATCCAAGTCATCATTCTCTTTCAGTTCCAAATTTAATTGCTTTAATATAGTGGGTTGATTTAACCCTTTAACTCTGTTAACTTTCGAGTCTCAAGAAGTGATTAAGAAACATTTTATTATAGTGTTTTGAAAAGGTCTTGAAGTCAGCTACAAAAATATGAAATAAAAAATGGGAGTTTACATTAAAAAATTTTTAGGTGACTTAGACCTAACTTTGGAAAGGTCACTCAAAGTTAAGTCCGTATTTGCATGTGTCCCCCTCCAAACCATGCAACTTTTGTCTAAGAAATTTTTGTCTATGACGAGTTATAGAAAAATATACATTTTTTAAATGCATGAAACGGGACACTCTATATATATATGTATATACATATCTTTTTACATCATATATATTCGTTGGATACATTACCTCGTTATTAGATGGTAATTGACCCAAATTTTTTAGCCACGAACTAGGTGCCCACAGATACAATTGCACTATGGTTGCCGCAAGTTGCGTATCCAATCGCTGCATGCATATGCATTAAATGGAAATAAATATTACATATAATGTCTCTTAATTTCAAGAATACACTTTTAACCGTTTGTGAGTATTTCTGAATGAGTCTTTAGATCTCTTGCAACCTTGTTTAAACCAACCTTGTATAAACTTCTCGACAATGCATTTTTTATAACAGCATTAATAATAGGTGACACATTATCGGGAAGCATGGGAAGTTCACTTTCGGTGTAACTATAGTTCTTTAAAGTAACTTCGCTTTTTTCACCCTGGAACGGGTTTTTCGTGCCAAATATCTCGTACGCTATAGCTCCAACCGTCCATAAGTCCGCTTTTGTGTAATTTATTTTAGTAAAAGGTCCTGGTACTGCTGTTATCACCTCTGGTGCCATTAGTGCGATATTGCCGCCTTTATCGGTATCGTGAGTGTAGTAAGGCAAATACAGTCCATGATTTTTATCGGCCAAACAGCAGCCAAAATCCGTGACAACCAGAGACGGACAATTATCAGTTTCTTCCGACAAATCGAGCAAGACATTGTCACTTTTCAGATCTCTGTTTTATAAATATCAGGAAAAAATAAAACGTAACAGACGCCATATTGTAAATATAACGGATCCCCTCCCTCGTTTTTTACATTGTAAAATATATCGTCGTAGTACGTAATAAGTTAGATGGATAGAGAGAGGATTATTTTTCTCACCGATGAGCTATGCCGTTTGTATTCATATGAGCTACCGCTTCCAGCAGTTGGGCGAGCAACAGTATCGATACACGTGTGCTGACATCGTCGTGACTACGACTTATTAAGTACTGTTTCAATGTAACATCGTACCTAAAATGATGCGGTACACGTCAGGTATTACGAAAATAACCCATGAAGTTATGAATTTTCTTCAACAAGAACCTTTTCATTAACAAAAACAGACTCATATTCCTGCCCGATCCGTGAGGATTAATTCTGGCTGGTAAAGCATCGGGATACATTCCCAAGGAATCAGGTAGTATCGGTATTCTGTCAGCAAAGACGTTATACATAGCCACGATGTTTGGATGAGGTGGCAGCGTCGCTTGATTTTCCGCCAATTTTCGCTCCCAATCAATCATACTGTCGCTTCCATAATGCTTTCTACAAGGCACTGTTTCCCTGTACATGACTCTCAGAATAGCAGCAGCGTTAGATTCCGCATCATAATTGAACATCATTTTCACAGCGAACGGGAATGCACTTTTATCTTTCGTGTCGGTGTTAATACTGAGCGGGCTGTCATTCTCCTCCGATGTGGTATCAACGAATCGTGCTGCGTAAACAGCCGCGGAACAACCTTTAGCGATGATGGGCCCGACCACCAGGTTTCGTAAAGACACGGCATTCTCCTCGGTCGGAATAGTTTCGTAATTCTTGTCATTTTGCGGCATATTCCAGCGTAATTTAGAAACCGCCTCCTAAACATCACGTATTATATTACGAAGGCGGAAATTTATATCCTCAGAAGATCCGAGACATCGTTAGGAACAAATGATGTTCCTCTAGTCTATTGGAAAACATTCGAACTCACTCGAATTTCCCAGCATACTCCGTCCAGTTCATCATCCTTGGTCAATATGCCGGTGCCTGATGCTAATGATATACCGACAAGGGCGAAGAATGGCGCGGAATCGCCAAATACGAGCCTGCTTGCCGCGCGTCTTCGCAAATCAGCCGCGAGACTGTTCGTTACCCTCTTTAAGATGTTGTCGACGAAAATACGCCGAGCGTGCGTTCCCAAGTAACTGAGATGCCTCCCTGTGCCTGACACATTGCCGCTATTCCGGCAAGGAAGGGACTCGCCTTAGCCAAGATGAACATGGAGCATTAGAAGCTGCGATTCTGCATTGCATTATGTTAACCTCCGTCCGATTTATCTTACTGTTTCGCGGAATGTGCTAAATTTAACGATAACATAGTGACCAAACTCAATGCCTTTTGCATAAATTACTCAGTAAAATCGATCGTGACAATTATACAAGCTGATCCTTGCGATTTTCCCCGCGAATGTTTCCAACCTTTATTCTTCACAAGTTTATTCAAAATGCATATTGACTAGACCCAGGTAGAATGAATTTTTAAAAGATTTCTCAAAAACATCTAAAAGATAATAAAAAAAAAAAAGAAAAAAAAAGAAAAATAGAACGCCTTTTATCGATGTCTTTAAGACATCTCTTAGACATTTGTTCTGCCTGGGTACACTCGACAATACAGGTAGATAAGTGTACGAGACAGATGTACTTGTCCGAAAAAAGAACGCAAGGTTAAGATCGACTTGTACGCGTTTACGTTACGTGAGTGGTTTCGATTTCGCGGAATTTCGTGGCGAGATTCCAGGCAGGTAAGGTCACCGGGCGTAACTTACCCGCCCCTGCAACGTGTATCTTGTTGCTGTGTTTATATACGTATCCGTTTGAGTGGTAGGGCTTATTTTGCAATGAGCGTAGTACGACCCGACCATTTTGCACAAGGCGATAAACCGCCGCCCGTATCGACATATCTCCACTCTCCTGGACCGGGACAGCCCAGCGGGCGAGTCTGTGGGCCAGGTACGCCTTCACGGCTGTTGATAGAGCCGTTGTGGAAGTCTTGTCTCAACACGGTCATATACTTCCTAACTGCGCATCACTGCGCATTTAAACAAACTGAACTACGTCTTCTCTCTTTCTCTCTTTCTCTCTCTTTCTCTCTCTCTCTCTCTCTCTTTCAATATGTGGTTTGTTCTTTAAAGCTGTACCGCTGAACCGGCGAAGCTATGAAGAATAGACCAATGGTTTCAGGCGACATGCAAGTACACCCCAGTTCTGTCCTTGAGCGGGGTTTACAATGAGAATTTAAGCTTTAAGCCTTAAGGAATTGATTAATCATAATCGAATTATAGGAGAAAGGTCAGTTATGATCGGTCAATTTCTTAAATTTTACGCCTTAAGGCTATGTCTGCAATAGTGTTTTAAGCTATAAACCTTAAGAAATTGGCCAATCACAATGGATTATTCTTCTATAATTCGATTGTGATTGGTCAATTTCTTAAGGCTCAGGACTTAAAGCATCTATTGTAGACTAGGACTTAAGCAGGATTTACAGTGAGAATTTAAGCTCTAAGCCTTGAGAAATTGACCAATCACAGTCGAATATGAGGAGAATAATCGACTGTGATTGATCAATTTTTTCAGAGTTAGAACATAAATTTTCATTGTAGACCTATTCATTGTAGATCGTTTTAGGGAAATTTTGCAATATTATCTTTCAGATACGGTAAACACTAAAGTGCGTTCCGATGTTCACTACCAGTACTGCGAATCACAGTTTGTGTAACGTATTTGTAGATTTGAAGTGTTGGCAGTGAATATCGGAACGCATTTTAACGTTCACTGTATCTGAAAAATGTTATCGCAAAAACTCTCTATTCTTATATCTATGATAAAAATCAATGGTCACTGATCGCTCACCGTTCGCTTGTTTTCTGAACACAACCTTTGTGTCTATATTCTTGATTAAAAAGTAATAATTAAACAAATATTTTAACTTATATAAAAACAAAAATGTCAGAAAGTTTTGAGTTAAAAATAACTAGTTTAAATTATTTTCTAACTGATTAACTGATCTAACTAGTTACTAGTCCAAACTTGAAAAAAATACATTTGATATATGTGTTAAGTATAAAATAAATAAACTTGATATATAAAAATTAATAATTTCAATTGATGAGGTACAAACAGCAAGAAATTATTTTACATAATATATTTTAATAATTTGTTTCATCTCCTACTCTCACTTTTCTTTTCTCTTGTCTGTCCTTTCTCTCATTCTATAATATGCACATGTACAACACTCACGCGATGCAATATTTTCAAGTTGATTGTAGAATATTACGCAATTTGTACAATGTAATATTTGGTATACTAGAGGATTGCGCTCGTAAGATTAAACTCGCTGAAAAGAAACACAAAGTAATAAAGCATAAACTGGCAAGTATCCAAATAACAATATAATGGATCTCAATTCAAGATATGGGGACTTACAGATCTTGTCATCAATAGGATACGGAATACGGTAGAATACAAGATAAGCGCACATTCTATGTAGAGTTTCAACATCGGCCTGTACCATTCCACTGATGAGATATTGCTTGAGCAAAGGTTTCAAATCTGGAAAATAAGGGAGGTGGGGGGGAGGAGGAAGTTCCATTAATATAACAAAATTACTAATCGTTGTTCAATACGCAATACGTCGATAAACAATGAGTACCCTGCTCCCATTTGTCCAGGATAATCGCAGTTTTCTGTTTGATCGCGAGCATACTTTCCGCACTGAGTAACGGATCTGCCTTGTCCACGGAGTTCATCATTTTTGAGATTTGCGACGAGACAAGCTTAACTTGCCACATTGAAAAGCTGTTCGGCTGCTCCTCAATCACCTTCAGATTTTTCATTATATGCAACCACAATGGTATGAGGCTGACTTTGTCTTTAGTGATGCATTCGTACAGGATTATCGCGAATACATGAAGAAAGTATCGTTCGAATTCTGGCATTTTGCCTTGCATATCTGTAAGTGTTTTATCATTCATCATTATCATATATTCGATAAAATGCAATTCGTTGAATAACAAAATCAGGGATATCTCGAAGACCGCATCGAAAGCATAACTCATCATACCATTTTGCGACGAGTGCTTGATGTTTTCGGAGTGAACCTCTTTTCTCGGCCATTGTAGAAAATACGTTATTATGTTCAACACAGTTTTGTCGTTTGTAAATGCTGTGACATATTCCGGTCGCGCAGCCCATGCAATTACATTTTCCGTTGTTAATGTCTGGGCCATTAAAGTTCTGAATCCCTGCAACGAAACGGAATTTCATTGGTCGTCATACCGTCTTTATTAACATTAACGTTAATTTATCACTATACTGAGAGTACAAATTTGAAAAAAAAAATGTTCAACAAATGTTCCTTCAAATGGTGAAATACGCACATGAGGATCTTCCAAATACGATAAACAACCGGCTCTTTGTTTAATACTCAAGAAATCACGTCTCTCGAGCATATTTTCCAGTTTTTGCCAGTTGTGATGTTTTTCAAATATAATTTTCCAGTATCTCGAGTCTTTCAACTCGACCTTTTTCAAACTACATAACTGCGGTAACAGACACGGCGCTTGCAGGCTGACTTCCTGTCCTTCGGCTTCTCTCTCAGTCTCAAATGTCAAGTGTATCGTCGCGTAACAATACTGATTAGTATCTATATCTTTCGGTAAGATCACGCGTGGTTCAGCTGCCAATACGTACAAGTGACGCAATGCTTGTAAATGATACCTATCGATTAAAGTAATGATATATATATATATATATATATA